TATGGTGGTTGGTACACGTAAAGATGTACAATATCTCTGAATTCTATATTAAAAATTGTATCTAACTTCGTATGGGTTAAAACGAAGATGAAGATAGTTTGAGGTTTTTAGTGATAATAATAATAAATAAATTTATTTCAGTTCACAACTTTTGTTCACAATATTAAGTTTATTGAATTTAGTAGACTTTAATATACTACCGTGACATTTAATTATTTTTGTGAAATTACTGCACTAGTTTGTTATAATTGTTAATACAAAGATCGAAAACAAAAAATCTTTCGTTCCGGCTATACTCCAACCAGCGACCTTGCCATACCGTGACTGATGCTATCCCTTTATTTCCTAAAGTAACGCTTAATATAAATTTGTAGGAGGCTGGAACTTACACTTAGACTTCCAGTCTCCCGAACTCGGTCGTGGGTGCCATGGACACACACATAGACAACCGCAAGAACACCCAAATTCACGACAGAAATAATTGTAGGCCATACATATATTTCTCCCGGCCCGGGAATGGAATCCGGGACCTGCGCGGCAGCCCAACATGTTAACTGTTCGGCCACGGATCACAGAGGCAGTTAATTGCCATTAAGTTTATACCAACTTCGAGAGACATGTATGTATTTATTAAAATGTTTAAAACTAAAAAATATTATTTTATAAAGAAAAGACAAAGACAACAATTTATTTAGACATTGGGTTGCAATATTGTTGGAGAATAGTGCCCAAAGATTTCGAACATGAACTGACTTTACTGGATTTTTTAATGTAAAATAAAGGTACGCAATAAATATATTTACAAGTGAATGGACACATATTACAGCCTTCAAATTTGCCGTTTAAAAAATTATTGTTTAGACTAGGCTACGTACTCATTATTGACTTTACCGGCCCGCCTACATGCGGGTTTACCCCGTAATAAATGAACCTTTATCGTGTTTGCGGCAAACAGTTAATTTATCTGCAATGACACATTGTTTAGTAATTTATATCCGTTTATTAAGTTTAACTTTTGTAATAAGGCTACATCTCGATACCTCCAATGAACGCTAACGTTATATTCTTTGGTCATTTCTGTTATTTTTCTAAACAGCCATATTTATTTACTAATATTATGTTCTAAGATTTTGTGGAAAAAAAGAAACAAAAAAATGCGAAAAAAATTTTTTTTTTTAAATGTTAAAACTAAAAATAAAGAAAAAAAAAACAAATTAAAAACAGAACAGGTCCAAAAATTAAATAGGCGTCGTGTTCATTGGAGGTATCGATCTGCAAAATGACAAATTTTTAAGAGGTTTTATAGCTTGTACGAAAATAATTAGTCATTAAGTTTTTTTTATGCTTAAGTAGGTAAGTTATACAATTTCATATGCTTGTATATAATTTGTTTCATTTACTTTGTATTACTTCTAAGTGTTTTTATCACGCGAAAGTTCGCGTGATAAAAACACTTTTGACGTATGATCATGTAGCTTTACTAAGGGTACCTGATGAGTTATCCATAAACATTTTTGCCAATTACTGAAAATAAGATTTTTTAATTAATTTTTTTACACCAATGAATTGTTCGTCAATTTTATAATTTGAATTTGAAAATGCTTGGTACCTAGGCACTTTTGACAAATGTTTGCATAAACAATTTTTTTAAATTTGTTTATTCAAAAATATGACTCTTTTCAAAACCTTTTACGGGGTTTTAAGGGAGAAAGCATCGCTTTTTGTTACATTTTGTTACAACCCAAGTAATAGTTTTTTAATACTTGTTTGCGTTTTCTTATTTAGAATGTCAGGCAATATGCACTCCGTGTGCGTTAGTACTTCTAAGCAGTAGATATATAATCGACTTGGCCTGCTCGTTTTTGTTAAACACCAATTTACGGATCTGATAAGACCGATTTATATATATTTTATGGATCTATTGGTATTGTTAAATATTTATGACCCGACGTTGTGATAATCAATCAACACAGAATATGTCACCTTTTTGTTCTTTATCACGGTGCATTTAGAGTTAAGCTAACAACTTAATAATGGAATTTACTTACATAAAGTTGACACGCACTTACTGGTATCACGCCTTAATAAACTGCCTCTGTGGCCGAACGGTTACCATGCCGCACTGCCACGCAGAGACCCAGATTTGATTCCCTGGTCGGGAGAAATATATGTATGGCCTACATTTATTTCTCTCGTGAGTTCGGGTGTAATTTGTGATTGTCTATGTATGTGTCCATGGCACCCGCGACACAGGGTTTCCCTAGTGCTAGGCTATGTTGATTGTGTGCGTTATTATTATTTTAAAAAATGCGTGTAAATTGCAAAAGTGTTATTTCATAGTAAACGAAAAATGCACCTGTCGCCATCGGCTGTTGCCAGGCGATCGTGAATTAACCAATAGTTGCAATCTGACTTCGAATATCGGTGGAATTAGATCGACATCGATAGAGTTATCGACTCAATACTATGCTGTATGGTCTTTGCAATGTGTTGTGTTGATGTCTTACGAAACTGGATTTAATTAATTGCTATTTTGAAACGTACTGTGTATACTTCTAAAGTGTTATATGAAAATGATAATTGTAACTTCAACTTTTAGTAAAAAACTAAAAATCGATCTCAAAAGTTCGTGGAATTACATCTATTTGCCAAGTTTTATTGAAATTGGTTACCGAAAAGTGCGCGAAACCGGATTTATGCCCTAGATTGCCACCCTCTAAGGTGGAATTCTACAAAATTTAAATTAGATCAATATTGAGGTACCCTCTATCAAACAAAAAAGAATCATCAAATCGGTAAATTTTTGGTTTTCGCTTAACATACATACAAAAATAAATACAGTACAGGACCTCTTCCTTTTTTGAAGTCGGTTACATATAACAGTAATTATATAAAATAACTACCTACGTTTATAGAGTAATTTAGAGTTGTAAACAAAATGTTTCCCATCTCTATGGTTCATAATGGTCATTTGGTAATGGCGTGTCGGACAATGCATGCGAATGTGGCGCAGCCTGCAGCCTGTAGGGTGCGCAAGGGCAGCCTATGCCCTTCACCGAGGTCACCTTGTCCCCCGCCCTTGCCACCCCGACACCCGCAGGTATACCGCGCGCGTGCGTCTATTGTGTGCGCAACCTGATACCAAATATAAATCCACCACTTTAACCCCTACGTACAGTCTCAATCCTACTCCTTTGCTTATAAGTCTCATTATCCAACATCATAACATTCGTGAGCTTTTTGTTTCGGTACGTTATTCTAACGAGTTCCAATTTCGAGTTTGAATCTTTTTAAAACCAATTGCATTTTATAGGTGAGCGTGACAGGATAATTTAAGAAAGGAAGAGTTGAATTTTTTGTTTCGTTTTTTTTGGTGCGCTGTCTCGCGCATGCGATTCGGAGGTGTCTGTTGTTCCCGACGTTAGTTTTTTTGCCTTTGTTTTTGAAGTAATTACTTCGATACGTTTAGAGTATCGAGCAATAAACGTTTAAGACTCGTTTCTGGTATAATTATCCTTGGATTATTCCATCTTTTTGTTTCCTAAAAAAAAGCGGTACTTGTTTTATTACCAGACTATACACGTATTGATGATATGTTGAAATAGATTAAAATAAACTATACAATTAACTCTTGTACGTTTTGCACTATATAAAGGCACAAAGATTATATTCCTATTAACCACAAAGACAAGTAATAGATAGAAAGATCTATAAATCAAAGAAAGATGTAGCTCTACAATGACCTTCTAACTCTAAACCGTTACAATATTATCCTAATTTCCATTCACAACGCCAAATTTAAATCCAACGGTCATCAATTACCATATATGTTTTTACTGTAAGACTCTAATTTTCGACGAAATATAGTTTCGATATATAGTGCAGTGTGAATAAAAAGAAGTTGTATTCCATTTATCTCATATTCCAGGAATTGGGAACCGGGAGCGATGACGTGTTCGCTGATTTTCCTCCACACCAAGTTTACTTTTTTCTTAGAAACAATTCACTTGCACTTGAATTGAATCATGTCTCTGCAATTTCGGCAATACGTTTCTGAAAATGTGACTAACCACTTTTACGAAAACTAGCACAAAGTTTTGTAGCAAAATGCATTTAGTAGTAGAATTTTCCTTAACAAAAAGCTTCTAACTATCCCAATAAACATACCACTACCGCCATTATTATCACTATTAATACGATTATTTAACCAATTAAAAACTCTACTACATGATACTATCGTTTTTTTATATTGCAATATCACAGAGTTTCGCAGTAACGTCATTAAATAGCTGATTCCTCTCATTATGGATAACATTTTAAACGGGTTTACTACATAATTTCGAAGTACGTTTCGTCTAATTACATATGGCCGACTTGATGACCGTTTAACTTAAGTTTCATTAATTAAAAAACATTATATCGATAGTTCATTTCACATAATATTCCTATATATTTGATGAAAACTTTTTACGCCAACACATTTCATCGAAATACCATTTTGTTAATTAATGCACTTACTTGTTTTTGCATTGATAAAGTGATTTAGCGTTAGACTTTTGTATTTTCAGCGAATAGTAATCTCCAGCCTGGAATAATGTGTGTGTTAGGTCTTTATAAATACGGTAGGTTGTAACATAACATCAGGGCAAGTGCAGCCATTTTACTGAGCTCTTTTGTTTGATATAAATCTATGTATTGTAATTATTAACGTGTTGTGATAAAATAAATAGCAAGAAAAGCATTTTGATGAAATATATTGGAAAAAACTTAGTCTATGATGCTTCGATGGTTGATATAGTGTTTTGATGACATGTAGCATAAAGTAAATATGTACTTCGATATATCAAGCATTGTATAAATGTAAGCATTGATCAATAACATACTCGATGAAATGTAATTCTACGAACAGTATTGCATTAGCTTCGTGTGCACTATCCAACTCCTGTCATTTGTTTACGTCAAGGGCGATTAAAGCAGGGTACTTATTGTTTGTTTCACAGGAATCCTCGCCCACATTGACGCTAATATCGTCAAAGGTAAGTTGCTAAGCAAATTGCCTTTTGGCCATATCATCTCATCATAGCTTGCGAAACCGTGAAACAAATAATAATCCTGCGCTATTTATATTTTCTTTTGTTTTTTGTTCTGGGTTGGACTGTGTACGAAGCAATGTGCATGTGATCATCCATTGCCGCTATAGTTGTGTTTGGTGGTGTATGTAGTGATGTAATTATTCAATGTATAAGTGTACAGTGTTAAATTGTTTAGTAGGTATAAGTTTAAGAATGTTTAGTGATATAGTTATTTTCATCTATAAATGCGTATATTTTATTAAAAAAGTACAACAGGTGAACTTAAACTTTTTGACCGAAAGAAATTTGGTAATAAATTTAACGATGGAAGTTCAAATGTCAAAAAAACTACGTCTAAATTTTGTAAGTCACCCCAAAAATGTCCTAAGAAATATTCAAACTGCCATTTTTTAATAACACTATCAGCTAATTGGATAACTTGTATAAATAGTTGACAAAACAGGATCCTCACACGAATAAAACGTACATTTTTGTGGACACAACCTAACCTGTATTGACAAAATGTACATTCATCCAATGTAAGTAAATATGAGCAAATTGAAACATTCGGAATTTTGTAACTTAAAATCAAAACACAAAATATCGTAATTATTAATACAAAGATCGAACACTAAGACAAATTCCTTCGATCCGGCTGGAGTCGAACCAGCGCCTTCAGCATACCGTGAGTGACGCTCTCCCAACTGAGCTATGGAACGAACCTGAAGACCTTACGATTTTTAAATATGCTTGTTGCAGATCTTTAGTTTTGGTTTTTAACGACTTTTTTGCCTTTCGAATCCGGAAAAATTTGTAGAGTAATTTTAGAAAAAATTATTGAATATCATTATAGTAAAACAGCGCGAAATTCAATAACCTTAATATTAACTGCCTCCGTGGCCGAACGGTTACCATGCCGGACTGTCACGCAGAGATCCCAGATTCGATTCCCGGGCCGGGAGAAATAGTTGTATGGCCTACAATTATTTCTCCCGTGAGCTTGGGTGTAATTTGTGGTTGTCTATGTGTGTGTCCATGGCACCCGCGACACAGGGTCTCCCTAGTGCGGGGCTATGTTGAGTGTGTGCGTTTATTACAACAAATTATCGAGTTTAAATGAACTGAAAATCGAACGATTATGATCAAATAACATCTTGTATAGATTACGGTTAACAATAATAATAACAATTATGTAGTAATAGGTATATTATATTTGAGATATATAACCACACTGAATAAAGTGAGGACCTGCGGGCGGTCCCCGAAACTTTATACCGTCTACTTCACATTCGTATGTAAATGTAATAGAAAAATGATTCCTCTGCCCTTTTCACGTAGTTTACCTCCTAACACGAAATGCAATTGCGCATTTAACACATTTATTAGATATTGTAGGAAGTTTTATCTCGAACTTGCAGATAATTTATAATATGATATCAAAGACATTTGAAAATCACGTCTTAAGATTTCGTATTTATGCCTTTTTTATTTATCTAGATAAACGTGACACCAATTTCGTAATCATACTGCTTGCTACATACAGACTAAAAAAACATCATAATAACTCAAAATCAATTTGGTAATTAACAATAAATTTGTATATAATTTCAAAGCGTTGGAAATGTTAATAGCAGTGGAGCTTCTGCCGCCAAGCAATAATGTGAGCTTGTCTTAACTTATGTGCGCAGTGGCAGTGCCCCTCTGATCTTTGTGACTTAAAGCAGTGAGTGGCACAGCAACTGTTATGGACAGGCGTGTCGTTTACCACCAGGCGCACGACTTGTTCGTGCCATCACTTGGTAAAAAAAATTTCGAATCGATATCGCTGACCTTTCGGACTGAATGTACGTGATTTGAATCCGAAAAACAACTAGATATTTTCAAAGTAATTAAAATTCCGAAATCTTTAACCAATATCTAGATTCTATACCTACAATTAATAAAAGGCTAGAACAATTACCGTCATCCGTTTACAAGTCTCGAAATGCGTTGTGTTCGTTTCGATGAATAATTTCTACTTAGCCGCGTTCTGCTTCTTGTCTACCTCAGAAAAGATATTCAATTCTTAGCAATGGTATGTGTGTCTATTTTGGTGCAGTACTGTTATTTTATAAGTTGTCGTTTGCGCGACGCCACTGGAACGATTTGTTTTAATTAGACGACTCCTCAGCTCGTTGTCGTTATGCTATACTGGTCTCTGAACGTGGGTGTAAGTAATAAATGCGTTTTTGCTGTGATTTACAATTATTAGCCTTATAACGGACTATGGATTATTTTAATAATATTCGTTGTATCGAGTTTGGCTATTTGACAATTAATTTTAATGGTGGTGTTATTAACTTTTTTGGATTTAGACATTTCGTTACTTGGGACTTTTGTATGGATGGGTTTTAATTACAAGCTGTGGTAGCCCACTGCGATAGCGGTTGCTTCGCAATTGCGACTTTGGGAATGCGCATTCCTGTACCTTATAAATTTAATTTCTAATTCACGTAACCACACAACTTTTGAAAACCGTGGGCTGTACTCATCTCGATTTGGTTCCTCATGGTCGATTATGGAGTAAACCCTATTCTTAAAGGAGACCCGAGCCCTGTAGTGGGACGAATAACGAGTTGATGATGATGAATTTTAATTAGTTCTAAAGAAATTATACGATCTTGTCTTGTCTCATCCTCGTCCACAACTTCACTTTTGAGGAGACGAGATTATGGAGATGAAAAAATATAACAAAAATATTACCAAATAGTTTTTTTTACAATAATATTAAAGTCAAAGTCAAAGTCAAAGATTATTTATTCCATGGTTAAAATAAATTTACACTTGAAAACGTCACGTTCAAGCTACTGCTCGTTCACTACGCTGACTCTTTTCAAATAAACTTAAATGCTATGGAATTTACTTTGAATCAAATTTGTGTGGATTCTGGAGCCGTGTCGTCTTTCCATACATCTTTATCTAATACGTCGTCTTCAATTTTGTAATATGATTTTTCGATCAAAATATTTTTAATGTAGTTTTAAACTTAGGAAACGATAAACTTAATATATGCTCCGGAATCTTATTGTAAAAACCTATACAGTTCCCCATAAAAGAGTTGTTTACCTTGGTTAAACGAAATCGTGGTACCATGAGTTTGGACTTAGCTCTAAGGTTAATATTATGGATATCTTCTTTCTTATTGAAATCATGTATATTTTTACGGGCATATAAAATATTTGAGCAAATGTACTGTGGGGCACCACAGTTATGATACCAGTCTCCTTAAACTTTTCTCTGAGAGAAACCCGAGAGCCTAGACAGTACACAGAACGAATCGCTCGTTTTTGCAATACAAATATGGTTTGAATATCTGCCGCTTTATCCCACATGAGAATCACGTAGGACATTATACTATGGAAGTAACTAAAGTAAACTAGTCTAGCAGTACTAACATCGGTAAGCTCACGTATTCTGCGGACTGCGTATGCAGCGGAGCTTAATCCGCTGGCCAGGGAAGATACATGTGGAAACCATTGAATTTTACTATCTAAGGTCACTCCCAAGAACACTGCTTTATTAGCAAGGTCTAATTTTTCTCCGTTTACTTCTATGCTTGGACTAGTCGATTTTACGTTAGGTAATTCAAACAAGTGGCGGAACGAGCAGGTTGTGCCAGGTGGTAAGCTACACGCCTGTCCATAACGGTTACAGTGCCACTCAGAGCTTAAACTCGCAAAGGTCTGAGAGGCACTGCCACTGCGCTTGTCACCTTGAGACATAAGTTGACAAGTCCCATGTGCCTGTAATTTTCACGTAAAGTCACATTTATGCTTAGTGGCAGAAATAGTGAAGGTAACAGTACTTTCCTGGACGAACTCTTTCACAAGGAGCTCTAGTGCTACTGCAGAGTTCTTAAGTTTTCGTGATTTTGAGCCGTTTTATTTGTAATTTACCATGAGCTAAGAAACCTGCGCATATCTACAAAACAATTTAATTATGTGTGTGAAGCTCCCTATTCGCATTGAACTGTGTGGGAACTGTGTCCCAAGCCCTCTCATTGATAGAGGTGGCCTGACCACTCTGAGTTTAGGACTATTTATAGACTAACTGATACATTGCCGTATAATAGGACGAGGAAAAACATTTAGTCCATTGTAAAAACCATAAGTAATCGTGCTACAAAATCTGAATAAAAATTGTGTTGAAGCTAACGCCAGTATTTTTAATTACTCATCGCAAAGACTATTCGACTAAGTACCGGTATGCTAACATAGCGAGAGTCAGATGACGCATTCGACTGGGCGAGAGAACAATTTATGTCGGTGTCGGTAAGAAGTAATAGCTGTTGGGTAACTTTGGCCAATTGCTTTCGGATATTAGTCACTGAATCGTAAGGTCATGTTTCGAGGAATTGTTCTTCTTATTGTATCGATGGCATACAGTTTAATAATTAGGTACCCTTGTGTTGAAAGAATTTGCCAATCGGCGTAAGGTACTCACCGACTGTTGCACAGGGTACGCCATACTTATAGGAAAGGGATGGTACGTCATACGGGGTGTCTCAATTGGAGGCGGGGAGGTTTTCAGCAATGAGTTTTCCTTAAATAATGTTTATTTCATAGGTAAGCCAATTACACTTGTACACTTGTAAATACATATATGTATACAGTAGATATAATTGTTCTATAGTCTGTTTCAATCCATTTTAAACAAAAAGTAAACAAAACTGTTTGCTTAAAATTGTATGGCAATCACTCAATAAATCGGGTAAGTAAAACTTTCACGTATATTTCGACTTATCATTTTTTCCAACAATATTCATTTGAATAGCATATCAAAATCGTATTTGAAAAATGGTAGTCCAAAAGTGAAATTATCTTTCAACTGTCCGACTATGACTTGTCCATGTACGAAAAAACATTTAATTCATTAAATTAAAGTTTTTGTAAACGATTAGTAAATGGACATGGACACACACAGAC